AAAAAAAAAAAAAAAAAAAAAAAAAAAAAAAAAAAAAAAAAAAAAAAAAAAAAAAAAAGAGCCGACACTGTATGGGGCTCGTTAAAGCCCGAGCAGAGCGTCTCTATGTGTATGTTTGTATATATGTACAAGAAGCGTATACCAAACGAAGCGTGTAATTATTATCAAAGCCATTGAATAATTGCCTTCGAGGAGTAGCAGCGCCAAGACCGGGAGCAGTCGCACGACCGTCCGCGTCATCCCTCGCGGTCCTGCCTTTTTTTTTTTTTTTTTTTTACTAGTCCGTATTACACACACACACAAACACAAGGAAAAAGTTACCCCAGCACGCCTAATCAATACAAGCACCCGAGCGAAAACAGTACAAACTTCAGGATCGCTATCTGAGCAGTGATTTTTCACTTTTGTTTGTAAATCCACAAATTTTGCATAGACACGCGTCACGCTTGCAACTCGTTTACCGAAAAACTTTTAATAAGCTCCAGGAAAACCCGCCAATTATCGATCGGAGGTGATGCCATGTACACACACCGTACCAAGTTATGCACCAAGTGCATGTATACTTATCTTACCTGCCATTCCCTTTTTTTATGCCTCTACTACGCTGAACAAAAAAGTCCCTCGGCAAGAAGATGGGGAAAGGTATACCTATATACAGCCCCGTGACGCGAGTATTTTTCGTTTTATTGGATCTTAAAAAGAAAAAAGATGCTCTCGAGGGGCCGTGAGATGGATGCGCTTGTTTGTGCTACTGTATGTGCCCACTATACGTCTTGGGTGCCACTTGATGTGTACGTAGGGGGGGTTTTGTTTCTTATTTACTTAGGGAGAAATGTACACGTATTTTTTGGGAAGGGAAAAAAAAAAAAACATTAAAACGCTCCATCAATAAAAAATATATTTAAGTACACATGTTTGTTTGTTTTTTACGGAAGGATAGGGGTGGTGGGCGTTCGAGCTCTTTCGAATTAAACTCAGTTATTTATACACACGCACGTCGAAAGAAAAAAATACTCGAGGGAAAGGTGGCCGACAAACGAAATTTCACTATTTTTCCTTCTCTTTTCTCGGCATCCGCCACTTTTCTTGGAATGCGCGGATTACATTTAAACTTCTAATTGAAACGTACGACCGCCGGCTGCGATGAGACTAATAACAGAGGCGGTGAAAAATGAAACGAAGGGATAATCAAATGAAGAGGTTTAAGTACATACATATAAAACAAAAACAAAAATGAATCGAGTTTTTGTAAACAAAAACGTAATTCCCCGAGGCGCGTCAACCGGAAAAAATATTGGAAAAAAAAAAAAAATAAATAACGTATAAGCCTCGCCAAATCCGGTATAGTGCTTATAACACATTGGCTGCAGTGGGGTCCGCACCAGCGGGGGCAAAGACAGAGAGGAAAAAAAAAAAAAAAAGAAGGAAAGGTCCGTCGAGAGTGATGGCATGGCGGTGCCCCTCGTTCCCCTACGAGCGGAGCGGGGCGCGGGGCCCAATACACACACCATACACCACATAGCGAATGCGTGCGCAGCTGTTTTGGCGCTCTCCTCCGTCAGTCCGCACATTATCACCATCGCCGGCAGCGCGTCCTTGCTCTCGACATCAGTTGAAATTAAACTCTTTCGTTGTTTTATTTTTTTTTACTTTTTTTTTTTTCGTTAGTGTGCATTTTCGCGCAAATTGTCGCAAGATGATGGACTTATCGAGTACACGCGCTCGGGTGACATTCCGGAGCTTGACGTCTCTGCGGTAATTAAACTGTCCTGCGGCAAGGACTAAACGAGTGGCTTGTACATAGTGTAGTTTCGTGTATCCATGCGAGTGTATATATATAGGAGACGCAGGATATTACCTCATACCTAACGTATCTATATATGTTGGTATAACATGTACGCGAAGAGGAATTTGGGAGAAGACGATGCTTGGAATGCGGCCGTTTGCACTTTTGGGTCTGTTCGGCGTCGGTAAGGAAGGTCGCACGCTCGAGACATCAAAAATTGCTCCGTGTTTTTTTTGACGGCTTATATATTGCGTAGTTTGAAAAGGTATTAATTTGCTCTCTTACTGCATTTTCGAGTATACTTATTTTTAAGATTTACAACGCCAGCACGTGCGAGGCATCAGCTATTTTCAGACATAGAGAGAGAGAGAGACTCCATTTTCGGGGGACGACGATCGAGTGAAATGTGTCGCACATTATTCGTTGTTGGTAAACAAATGCTCGCGTTGTGGGCGGTATTTTTAGTCGATCGCAGTTCTCGTACCATCGTAAAACTTAAGAAATCCATCAAAAGCTTATGCGATTTACACAAAGAGAACGTAAGTAGTACAGTTTTCTCTTTCGTATCTCATTCGCGTCGGGCCTATACACTCTCATCCCCCTTTCGCGTGTAAAGTGGCTTCATACCGAGTCCCCCCCCTGGGAATATCGTCGTACAATATACATAACCCGTAACAGTCGAACGGTGAAATTCAAAAATAAAGTGCCGGAAATAGCTCATATAAGTACGTATAACTTACTTACGACTCCGGTACGAATAATATATATATATGCTTAAACTTGTACGAACTTTGGTCGGAAAATCGACTTGACAAGCTCACCGGTGTTACCGTCGATCTAATATACTTACTATATAATGCGCGACGTGACCGTAATACGTATACGACTTTAAGATTAATCGCGTACTTATGGGTACGTAGCGCGGAAATGATGTGAACTAGTAGTATGATAATGACAATTTTGGACTGACACGCCGCGTTTGGAAACAAAACTTGTATCACCTACAGGTATACACGGTCCACGCACGTGCAACTATGAAGTTTTTGATGAACGAGCGTCGAATTCTTTGTAAAAATTTTTTAAGGTGTATAGGTATACGTTACCTATGCACACACCGATGAACATTCGTACGTAGGAAAATTCCTCGTTTGCTAATGAAGCGCATATATACGCGCTCCCCCAATTCTCTCTTTTCACGTAAGCGATTAAGTATATATGTATACGTGTACTTGTAGCCCGGATATAAATGAAAAGCAGGGAAAACAAGCCATAGCATACACCTGCTACGTTATACATTTGAAAGTAGGTATGCGTGTACTTAAGTGTCGCAGTGCGCGCGATTCAGAAAAATCTCATCCCATTCTTTCGAGTTTTCCTTTTCTCTCCCTCATTCTCTTTGTTCACGGGCAAAGAATGACGCTTTTCACTTTAAATAGGAGCCGCTATTGTGTGTAAAGCTCCCTATACACACACACACACGACTTTTTCTTTAGCTGCGAGAGGTGCTGCAGGTTCTCTCTTTTAAAGCGGCACAATTTTCTATGAGCACGTACAGAATACTCGGGGGAATTTTCCGCCAGCCCGTTGCTTCGCCCGATTAATTTCTCTTTTTTTTTTTTTTTTTTCACCGCTGATCAAGTTCATTGTCACCGCGTCCAAAAATCGGCCCTTTCGATGAGACATGGAAAAAAAAAAGAAAGTGTTTTAGCATTATTTCTCCTTGTTTTTTTCATCTATTATATACAATCTCGCGCTTTCTCCCTAGTGTTTATTTTAAGAGCTCCTTTTTAAAAGTTTGTATCGCCCAGAGTCCCTGACTCTCTTTTCCCTCGGTCTCACACATAAGTACGTATATTGTACAAGCTCCTCGCTCTCTTTCTCTGGGTTAATGTCGTTTCGCTGTTGTTTTTGTTTTTCCTCGTGTGTCCCTCTGACGTGGGAAAATTTCCGCGTCAACGTACAAAGTATAAAGCTTTTTTCTCTCTCTTCTCCAAAATGTGTATTATTTATACACACATCCCTGCTTTTGAACAATATTACAGTTACAAAGGAGCAATCCCATTTTACTCTTCCGTTCAGCATATTTTTCTTTTCCCCTTTCTCTAATGCACTTTCTCACTTGACACTCACGCAACACTTACGCAGTGATGCACGAACCGTTTGGCAGCAATCACGTGTGCATTGTTTGATCAGTTTTGCGATAAACTGCTGATGGGAAACTAAAAAAAAAAAAAAAAAAATACATGAATCGGCAAACCTATATACGCGCTTCCTCTGTTCCTTGTATCATCGCAATCATCGTCTTGGGAGAGACAACGACGATGTCTATGCATGAGAAACAAAAAAGATGCGATGATTACAAGAGAGGGTTCGAATCTTCTTTGTGTACAACGTATATGCATATAATTGGAGTCGTCGCCGCGGAACGACTTGTATATACGTATGTGCGCGTAACAATGTAAAATAATATACTTGTACAACAGAGAGCGAAATCGCAAAACGGACGCGGGCAATAAAAGCATCAGACTCGTTCATTGAGATGAGATGCACATGTGCGAATACATATATCGGGGGAGGAGGAGGAGGGAGTGTACCGCCGATTGTCCCAAAGAGGAGAGGCGCAAGTAAATAATGGCTCCTCCGTTGCTTAGCATATATATATATACGGGGCTTCGCGAAAATATTTCTAGATAATCTGATAGATTATCGCTTGCTTCCTTTGGAGGGGGAGACATACTATATGCCCTGTTGTCTGTCGATGTGACTGCTAAAATTATGAGGACTCACAGGAAAAATTTTATTTTTTTTTTTATTTATACAAGTACAATGGGTTCATTGCTCATTTATCACATTTTTTTCCTAATTTATCTGCCAGTAATGTCACTTGTACGTGAAAATATCATCATCCAAAATAATGGTGATCCTAATTAGATATATATTATGTTGACGGAAATCTGAAAAAAAAAAAAAAAAAAATTATTAAGTAAAATAATTTATTAGTCGATTCATGGGTGTTTGGACGGAATAAAAAAAGTTGGTCCTTATGTATTCAAATCGTATTATGGGTGAACATTTAAAAAAAAATTGCAAATAGTATATGGGTCGGTATACTTTTGTGAATGAATTGAGAAAACTGCAACGTGACAATAGCACAGATTAAAAGGCTTATTCGAGCAAGAGTTATCATTCTCTTGAAAACCCCAAAAGAAAACCTCTCCCTTTAAAGAGACATCGCCCACGAAGATTCATGCGTGTCTCATAAAAAAAAAATCGAGTCTCTCTCTCTCTCTTAAGCCGATGCCACGCACTGCTGTGATGTGAGTCATCGATTTGGTTTCACACGCGTATAACGACCGAACCAATCGTACGTGCGCTCGATGCTTCCAGTATCGTGATGTGCCAAAACCAAAGAGGAATCTGCAAAAACTCGCCGAGCAAACGTCAGCAGGTACTCCCGGCCAAATGAAATTTCGCAAATCTTCCGGCGCCCGCGTCCACCGGAGCCCCGAGATGGACCTACTGCGCCGGGGGGCCGCGACGGGGCACAAGCAGCCGAGCGCGTTCAAGCGATCCAAGTCCTTCCGCGCGTCCGTCCGGCTCATCTCGAAGATCCGCAGCCACGGGCCCAACGCCCCCCCGGACCGTAGAAAAAGCACCGGGGCCAACATAGCCAAGGAGCTCGAGACCAAGCTGACCCTCGCCTGCGCCAACGCCTACGAGAACCCCACCTTCGTGGACAGCTCGTTGGACTCGTCCGTGTCGAGTTGCTTCTACCAGCACGACCTCGACAACCAGCCACCAATACCCATCCCCCCATCCCCCCGAAAGAACCCCACCGAGGACGAGTGCAAGCTACCGCTGACCGTCATCCTCGAGAGCGGACACCCGCCCCCCACGTCTTCCGTATTCTACGTCGAGCCAAAAGCCGCGGCTCCGAAAAGCGCCGACAACATCGGGAGATTCTGGGCCGGTGCCAGAACCGGCAGCTTCCGCGTAACACCTGCCAAAGGGGTATACTATGAGCCGTGCCGACTCTCGCTCTTTGCCGGGCCGACAAAGTGTAACATACCCCCTACTCACTAGTTTTTTCGCGGGTCGATCGCCTCGGGGTGATGTGTTATACATACGCGGTCACGAGGGGTTGTCCGCCACGCGCGCTCGACGACGCCTCTTTTTGGCACGCGCGTTTAGATAAATGGGCGATTGAGCGGGGGTGAACAAAAATCGATGGGTTGGGGGAAGTTGCTTCAACGCGTGATTCTTACGGGGATTTCCGACGCCATGGGAAAAGTTCGAACTGACGCAGCAGAGTTTCGGCTCTCAATTTGGTAAAAACTCGGGGGGTGCAGGAAAGACTCTGGGTTCTTTTTTTTTTTTTTTTTTTTTTTTTTTTATTTCATGAATATTCCGTATCACCGACGCTCTCTCGGGTATGATCCATCACTTGCTCACCCACGCACGAACACGTTGTATACAGACATCCATAAGTATGTACACCGCCAAGTTAAAGACCGTAAAAAAAAGAAAAAAAAAAAAGAAAAACGATCGGCCCGTGAATCTCATCTCCGCGTGTTTTGCATTTCACTTCGATAAATCACGCATCACCGGCAAAGAGTCGAGCCATCGGAGACACACAGATTTTCCTTCCCGACTGCGTATATATATAATAAGTATTGTGTGGTGTGTGCAGAGAAGTGGCTGCGCGAAGCGGAAGGAATCGGACGAAAAGGCGAAAAAGAAGAAACATCAGAAGCAATCGAGCGCCCCGGGAACAAGTACGTCGCACTCTCTGTCTCTCTTTCGCGAGTTACGATACGTTTGCCCTTCGAGTGGAAATGATGTGCGTTGAGGAAAAAAAAAAAATCATCCCCATCCCCCCTCGTCGCACTATTTTCCATCCCCCCCAGCTTTGCTTTTCCCGATGTGTGTCCGCCCTCCCGTGTATACAATTAAATAATACTCTCGCATGCACCGATACTTTATATAATTGCCGTGTGCTCCAACATTATTACTTTACTCGTATTTCTTTCTTTCTTACTTTTTTGGCACTAAAAATTATCATTTTTTTTGTTTTGTTTTTCACCACACATGCATATCATTGTTTTGTTTGGCTCGATTGAATGTTACGCTTTTCCCGAGAGCAGAGCTGCACGCGCCCCAAGGCATGGAGTTCCTGGAGAACTTTGGCAAAAAGAAGCACCACCACCAGCAGCAGACAAACAACAACCACCAGCACCGGCTTCGGTTGTCTAGCCTCGCCCCGTCGACGCCAAACTCGCTCAGCATCCACTTGCATGGTAGACCTTTGCATTCTTTTTTTTTTTTTTTTTTTTGTTTTTCCTCGATTTCGCACTTGATCGAGCACTGCACGCGAGAGTCTCCCTTTATAATCAAGCAGCGCTTAACCAGTGGCGCCTCGACGCTTTGAACATCGAATTTTCCATTATATAAATGAAAAGCTCGCGAGGGACAAAAAGCGCACGCACTCCCCTATGGTTATCCGTGCTTGTACTCGATACACATATATACATATATATATGTGTGTGTATATGCTCGCGAAAACAAACGGGTAGGCCGACCCAATTTGTTTCGTTTTGTACAAACCGTCGAGCTGCGAAAAAAGCCTCAAACTTTCGTACGCCAACCGCAAACAGGAGAAAAACCATATGGGGTGTGTGTGTAGTATGCGGTAAAAAGAGACGTCCTCCTTTACCCGTACGCAAATATAATAGTGCACATAGCCAAAATCTCCTCTCCGCGAGTGCTTTTCCAGCGTGAATTAACGGAGCAGGGCAAACAATCGATTTGAGGGAAACGAGGGAATATCGCATCAAACGAACTCGATCACGTTTAATTGGGAGTACGCGCTCTCACATCTCCTATAGTTGGAGGTTGGGGGGGGGGGGCAGCTTCTCGAGAAAGGGGATGTAATGTACATACGTATGTATATAATTATGTTTGGTTGTCTCATTTTGTATGTGCAGCTCTGTTTGCGGCAGTCGAGCATGGACACGTCGACAAGGCGCGGGCCATCCTCGAGTCGACGGATGTCGACGTCAACAGGTGAGGAATACAGGGCTAAAGCTATTTTATATTATATTTTTTTACAAGTGCCTATCTTATGTATGGCTCGACCAAGCGGAGTGCGGGGGACGAGCCTTGAAATATGACGACGACTGTTTCAATGGCGGGGCCACCGATTAATACCAAGAGAGTACAATACTTAATCTTATGATTTTTCCTTCATGTGTAGACAATTGGGGCGGGGGAGGAGGAAAGAGGAACTTTGTGAAAGCATGTATATTATGTACATACAGTGGCTCGGGATTGGCGTCACGGGACGCGACAGGCTGGATACGAGCCCTATTTTTTCCTCCCCCGAAGAGGGATTAAGGTCCTCCGAGGGTAGCGGCGAATATAATCAGGTTCCTCTTACTTTGACCTTCTTCTTCTTCTTCTTTTTTTTTTACTCTTTTATCCCCTGTGTGACATCGTCCCGGAGCCGGAACGAGAAAAGTTTCGACTCTACACGAATTGCAGCGCGACGCGCTTTTATTTTATTTTGCACCCACCCCCTCCTCTTCACCCTTCCCAAAGAGCCGTGGAGGTGCAGCTTCGAGTTCAAGCGAGGGGTCCAAAAAAAAATTATATGCTCAAACTATTCAGCGAACGGCGCGCGTCCTCCGGTGGCGCGAAATTTCGCAACGAGACCCATGGTATACCGTACGCGCTTTCATTGTACGGGGTCGTTCGTTAAGATAAAGGGGATAAAGTTTAACCAACTGGCTAATGTATATACACGTGATTGCAGCGTCAACGGCGATTGTCTCTCGCCACTGGACGTCGCGGTGCTGAGCAACAATCGGACCCTGGCCAAGATGCTCGTCGCCTTCGGCGCTCAGGAGGGCAATAAATGTGAGTACAGTTGGATCGTACCTTTTTTTTTTGTTTCCACATAGACCAAGACAAAGGGACGAGGCAATCAATAAAGTATAAGCTACACCCCCGCAGTTTCACTCGGGCGCATGATAATTAGTGCGAAACAAGGCAGGTGGGGGAAGGGGAGAAGGGAGAGGCAACGGAGACGATTTTTTTTTTTTTTACTTATAGAGGGGGTGGGGAGAGAGGACCATAGCTCGTAAATCAAAGGCAGAAGAGACTCCCTCTCATATCCGCAGCGGGTGAAAATCACTCGACCCACCATCCAAAGGGACGGGCTTGCAATATCTCGTGCTTCGATGCGATTATCGTGCACCTAATGCACGAACGCGCATACACGAGACGAGTATAGGGCGCTCTCTCGGGCAAAGTATAGCTATACGCGGGTAACCAGATCAATCCCCGCGAGTGCACTACCAGCGCACAAAACACTGTGTAGTTATATGGAGCTCGCAAAGGATATCGAGGGGACATCGGGTCTTATTTTCCATTTTGTTGCTGGACAATGTTAATCCGGGGGCTGCACGTGTGAGTCGGCTCGCTCGGTATAACTTTATATCATGCACATACATGTACCGGTTGGAAAACTATATACGTATACAGACACGAAACGATGTACAACATACAATATGCAGGGGAGGAAGCGCGAATCGGTGTATATAATTCCCTCGGCCGCGGTCGTAAATTCGGTGGGGTGGAGGAGGGCGCGGGCTGGTGCGTATACATCACGCTAAAAGCTCAAATTTATTCAAAAGTCGGGGGGCTAAAAGCCTTGCAAAATTGATTTGCCACCCCCTACCCCATCTTTGTATAGGATTATTTTTACATCCCTCGTTTGGCGAACCATCGCTCATATAGGTTTATTAATGCAAGTCGCGGGCTCGGTCTAACCGAGTATACCTACGTGTTTCGGCACTTTGCTCAATAGGAGCGGACGATTCGCGAAACAGCGCACGTTGGGGAGGGGGCGGAGAAACGCTTTCATAAACTGCGCACCAACTTTCCCTCTCTCCTTGGTATGGCTGCGTAAATAGCGCGCGTACGCCCCGTGAATTTCTGATGGATGATGCCCCGTGTGGCTGTATAACGCTCCAACGACTTTACCCACGCGACGTTTGTTTAACTCTCGATGGGGCCAACGATTCCGAGTTCTCCCAACCGTTTTTTGTTCTTCGATGCGTCGATCATAATCAAACTACAACGTTACTATAGAAAAAGGGGGGTGTGTATAGAAACAAGCATGGAAATCAGGTGGGGGTGCATTCGTGTGTAAAATACATAGATGTCCAAGGTGGATAGGGAGGAAAAAAAAAGAAAAAAAAAAAAGAGGGAGGTCGTCGCGGCTGTACCGCTGGGCTTCCTCGACGTGCCATTATCGGGGGAATTGTTCGAGAAATTCAATCAGAAAACGCGCAAGTTCCCGGTGTCGATGCGTTATATTGCCAGCGCGGAGGAAAGAAAAAAAATAATACTATGCATCGGTTGTCGGTGGCATGTCGCGGAGCAACGCGCATATGTGTATATATATGCAGAAAAGTTCGCGCTTCGAGTTATCAAAACGTCCCGAATCCACTCCGAAGGACGATCGAATATATATATATATTGTTCCATCAGCCAAGGAGCTTTTCCCGGACCGAAGATTCGCACGCGAAATTCGTGGCGCGTGCCACACGTGCAATACCTGTATATATGGGAGCCCCGAAATTGATTGGGAGGGGGTGGAGAGAGAGAGAGCTCGCACCGAATTAATCGCCACGTAATTCGAATACCTCCGCTGGTGTATGACCGCGCGTGTACACGTTGTTGGATGGGCGTCGATCGGCGCTACGTGTTTCGGCAAATTCAAGGGTAAGGAGAGGGTGAACGAGTTCTTTTGAAGTTTCGGCGATATTATAGGTACATCCCTTTTTTTTTTTTTTTTTTTTTTTATGTCTCCCTTGACGAGTCAAGGATACCTTGTACGCCTGCACTGATAATTCGAGTATAGGCTGCACAAGTGTACACTTTTGAAGCGCGTGATTGTGGAAATTGATGTAGAGTATCACTTGTTTTATTGAACGAAACCATTTTTTCTTTCTTTTTTGATACAAGTAGCGAGTGGTGAAGCACATTTATGTCGCAGATTTTTTCTAACCCTCTTACCAGCTTGGTATGGAGCTGGTTAAATATATAGTTTTGGTGCACACCCTAAACACATAATTGCTCGATTGTTTGAGAATAGGAATCTCGAGTTGAATTATCGTAAAAGGATTTTTTTTTTTTTCTTTCTTTTGGAGAAAAAAGCAACTCCCTCGGCTGGTGTGATATACGGTTAGAAGCCATATCGACGGCCACGGAAATGGAAAAATCAAGCCGCGGATGAAAACCCACCCGGATTTTCCGCTGCACACGTATACGGCTCGCTCGGCGAATTGTATCCGTCGGTGGCTATTAAGGTCAAGTGGATCGGATATACGCGCACCTATACCCTCTCTCTCCCTCTTGCTGCAATCGATATTTTTACTCGAATCTATTTTCTCGTCCCATCCACCCCCCCCCCTAAATTGATTGGGAGAGACAATTCGGTGATACTATCCAAGGCGATTATGTTCGAGGATTCATCCATTCCACCTTTGAATCAACGTCCCGTGCGACGCAACAATATAGCTCGGCTCCCTGTTGGAATGGCCAATTCTGACTTACAACCGGACGGGCGTCCGCCGCACGGCTAATTCGGAAAGTTTGCGACCCCACCCCCGTGTCCTACCGCGCTTCCGCCTCTACTTTTATTTTTATTTTTTTCACGCCTCCCATGCGCAAAGTGGACAATGTGTTTTGATTTTGTTTTTCCTCGCACACACGTCGGAGGCTACGATAAATCAATGGGGTGGTTTTTGGGTGGCACACCAACCGGACTTTATTTATGCTTCAGGTGTATAATCATCATTTTCTTCGGTTTATGCTTTTACCCAATAAGAAAAATAATCATCATCGGCACTAAAAAAAAAAAAAAAACACCTATTGTTACCAATAACAGCGTTGTTTTTTGGTGTGCGTTCCATCATGGAATTAAATTTCAACTGCGCTGATGTTGCACCACATTTTATCATAAAAAAAAAGAGACACGTAACATGTAAATTTCGTATGATGCGCTCGAGAATTGAGTTACGACGTGTGCGCTAGAAACGAGTTTTAATTTCAGCTCATAGGTGGAGTTTGAAAGTTGAATAATCCACGAGTTTTTTTTCATTCCACCCGCTTCCAACTTACAAACAAATTTAATCCGCCGTACATAACTTTTCACCCGATCATCGAGTTAAAGTTCCTTTGTGAGCGAACAAGCTGATTTTATTACATCAACTTATGACTACTAATAACTCGAAATTCTGTCTGAGCTTAGCCGAGGACAATATACTGCGGGGTATCAAAGCCCATCAGGAGGTGTAACACGCAAAAGCTTTTATTTTCCATTTTCGGGGTTTAGCCGATCATTTAGACGTACACACTATGTACGGAGAGGCGCGTTACCCTTTTTCCAAGTCAACATTTTTTTTCCACCCCCCCCCCCCCGAATATACATAGCTCTCGATTTCCGTGGATGTGCAGTCGGACTTTTTGCCTCACGCTCGCCCCGTTTCGAAACTCCGAATGGAAACTCGAACGCGTCGAGAGGGAAAAAAAAGCAACTGGCAAATCCACGTTCCTCCCATGTCGGAGGGCGACCCTTTAAAAAAAAGTACAAAAAATTTGTATAGTTTGAAAAAAACACCCGAAACTCCCACAGTCAAGTCACCAGAGACACTCGGCAGCCACCTGTCCGCGCTGGTGAGCGAGGCCGAGCACCGGGTCCAGGAGCTGGGCGGCCCGCATCCCCTCGGCGGTCCCGTGGGCAGCAGCGTCGGCTCGTCCCTCCTCGAACCCCCGGCCAGCGGCGGCCAGAGCCACCGGGGCAGCTTCTCCGCCCAGCACAACAACCTCACCGGCTGCGGCGGCACCACCGAGGACAAGCAGCTCGGCCTCTGGGAGCGCAGGACCCGGGCGCTCCGCAAGATGCTCCTCGGCTTCGACCAGGCCAGTTAGTACTCGCCCCCTACCTTCCCTACATAATAAATACACTACGCGTTGCATCTTGGGTTACTCGGGAAAAAAAGATGACAAACATTTTCACAAATCCAAACCGTTACGTAACCGGGACGACAGAGTTCCCTCTCCCCGCAACTTTCCGCATCGCCAGGTGGGCAAGCTCAAGTGTTTTGGTTCCCAGGGCCGCCGGACGCGCCTCTCGGCGTGACGGTCGAGGTGACGGGCACGAGCTCGGTGAGCGCGAGGTTCCACGACTCGGAGGCCCCGGAGTCGCCCATCTGCACCAAGTTCAAGATCCAGTGGAGCCTCAGGGAGGACTTTGGCTCATTGGCCGGTGAACGGGAGCTACTCGACGTCAAGCAGAGGGAGTGCCGGATCGAGGGCCTCCTCCAGGGGCACAGGTACTACTTCAGAGCGGCAGCCGGCAACCTCAAGGGCTACAGCAGGTTCAGGCCAACGACTCCCGGCTGTTTGACGCCGAGCAGTTAGTTTCACCTAATTTTTCCTCCATACTTTTATAATATATATATTCCTCGCTGCTCTTTGGATGATGCAACTACGTTTGTGATGCGCGATGGTAGGTTGGCGGGACGTGGACGGTAGGACGGCGCGCTTCGCCGGCCGGCTGGAGCGGCTGGACAGCTTGTTCGCGGACCTGCGCGGTTCGGAGTACAGTCTCGAGACGCCGGGTCTGCAGCGCAGGAACCACAAGAAGAAGACGACGATAAAGCAGCTGTTCACGGCGACGAGCAAGTTTCAGAAGAACCTGCGCCGGGGCGTGTTTCTCAGTTGCTTGCTCTACCACGAGGACAAGGTGCTCGTGACCAACGAGGACTTTTTGCCGTGCATCGAGGTGGACGAGACGTATCCGAGTTGCACGCACAACGACTTTCACTGGTTGATGAAGGTCGCGTGCACCTGGGACGACGTCAAAGCGCTCAGGCAGGACATGGAAAAGTGCCACGGCGGCTCGAGCAACCACTTTCGGATAAAGCTCCTGCAGGCGGCCACGCAGATGCAGGTGGGTGTGCAGCCATCACCGTGTGACTGTAAATTTATACGCTGTGTGTGTATAATGTGAGAAAGGGGGTTGCGTGACTCGGTGTGGCTTTCAGGCGGCGCTGTGCACCCAGGATCTCGGTCAGCTGTACCACAAGCCGATCCGGGACGTGCAGGGGACCCTAGTGTTCTCCACGGTGAACTACGTCCGTTCGCCGAAGCTCGTCTCGGTTCTGAACAGCCGTTGGCTACCGTTGGCCAAGGTCACCAAGAAAATCATCGTCCACGAGGACAGCAACGTCGCCGAAATCCTCATGGCCAGTATCCAAGACCAGATGACGTATCACCAGGTTAGCGGGATCAAGTTGTCGCGGGGCCTTTACCTCGGCTACCTCAAGATGCAAAGCAGCGTCGACTCGATTCAGGTCGTCGTGCCCGCCAAGTCGCCCAACGTTCTGCCCCACTGCAAGATACGGGACAACCCTCACGTCTCGGCGTAAGTGTTTTTTCTTTTTTATCGACTCTACCCACCATGTGATAAAAGTGAATAATAAAAACAAATACCGATCGTCAAATTGCAGGGAGGAGTGGGAATACTTGAAGCAAATGGCTCGGTTGCAAGCCGTGTTGAGTGTCGAGAACGCTGACGACGTCAATTGCTTCAAGGTTGGCGACGATCGTGACGAGGCGGACAAGGAGAACAGGTCGGTCTCGAGCGAGTCGCCGCTCCCGGGGACGGAGCAGCAGAAGCTCTTCATCGACATGGTCGCGGCAACGGCTCGGCGGCTCTTCAGCCACATGGATATCAGTCCCGAGGACTCGCTGAACCACCGGCTGTACGACGCCGAGGTGATCGACCTGACGCCCGAGGTCGCCTTTTTGGTGGCCGTGCCACCACCCGAGACCGCCTGTTCCGTTCCCGGCACCAGGGAGATGCTCCTCCAGAGGGGCGACCTGCTCTCCCTGCCCGTCCAGGTCTTCGAGATGGTACACCTGAGCACCTACCAAAAGGACGTGATGAACCGGTACTCGCGGTTGAGCTGCATCCTCGAGCTGGACACCGCCCAGGCTCAGCACAACCACCGCGAGGCTTTCAGCTCGTCTGAGCTCACGCTCGCCAAGGACAAGCTCTCGAGGCTCCAGGACCTCCAGCTCCAGGTGAACACGGTGTGGAAGGGCGCCAGGTGGCTCGTCGACGTCATAACCTTCACTCGGGATCGCGGGCTCGCTACTTCTTCCTCCTCCTCCTCCTCCTCCTCTTCTGCTTCTTCCCAAACGGTGAGTCTCGTGTTTGTCGATCAGTGTCATCAAGATGGGGAATCGAGTCAATTGTTGTTTGTACTCTGTTTGCAGGTTGCCGGGATCTGCATAAGGCATCTGCTCAGCCTCGATCGTAACAAGAACAGCGGCGGCTCGAGCAACGGCTTGAAGCGCAGTCTGCTCCAGTTGCCACCGCGTGACCCGAAGCTAGTGAAGGCGAGCCCGGGTCGGGGTAGTTGGCCGGGCCCGAGCGTGGCCAACTCGAACGGCTGCTCGCAGACGAACCTGCTGAGCACCGAGACGTTCAGCAAGAGCGAGCAGCAGCTACCCCGAGGTGGTCCCTACCCGCGCAAGGGCAGCGCGAGTTCAAACTGCTCCTCGGCCTCCGAACCTTACAAGTCGATCAGCAGCCAGGCGATGATATCCAGCGCAGGTAGCGGTGGCAACCTCTGCCCGTCCAGTTCGGTCAAGCTGCCGCCCTCGCGGTCCGAGGACACCCTACTCATGGGCAAGTACAGCAGCAGCAGCGGCGGGAGCAGCAGCCGGCCAAGCTCCAGGAGTAGAGGTCCACATGGCGTTGCCTCGGCCTCCACCAGTCCCCTACTGGGCGTCAAGTTTATAAGTGGTGGCGGTGGTACGTACAGCGTCACCAGTACCTCGGAGAGCGTGCACTCGATCAGCAGCGACGAGTACAACCTGGTGGTGGTTGGCAGCAGGAGTACTAATAATAGACCACAGCCGCCGATCAAACTGACCAAGCCCACGGCTAGCGTAGCTGCGATCGCTGACAAATCGCAGCTACTGACGGACCACAGGGATGACGTTGCCACCACCGCTGCGGTGCCATTGGCGCCACTACCCGGTATTCTCCAGGTATAGGCATCATTGAACTATCTTGTTGTTGTTGTTGTTGTTATTTTTTTTTTTCCTAGGGTAGATTTTGCGAGTTTACGATTTGTGGGTTTATTGCAATTGACAGGTGTACGCGGCCTATGAGACCGGTCTAGCATCAGGTACGAGCCTAAAGCTGCACGTGACCGGACGGACAACGGCCCGCGAAGTGGTCGACCTCGTGGTCAAGCAGCTCAACATGGCTGTGCTTCTGAAGGGGCTCGAGGGTCCCGTCTACCCCCAGGAGGAGCTGGGCAACTTTTGCCTTGTGGCGGTGATCGGTGCCAGGGAACGCTGTCTCAGGGACGACTTTAAGCCGCTGCAGCTGCAGAATCCGTGGAAGAAGGGCAGGTTGTACGTGCGACAGAAGCACGACGTGCTGGCCGCCCTGGAACACAGCAGCAAGCACACGGCCTATCTGTGATGATGAGGTGATCAATACCTACACTCACATGCACACACTCCGTCGTATGCATTGTTGACAAAAATTCGATGTATTATTATATTACAATAGGATATTTTTCAAAGACGTTAGTTAGTCTGTTGAGCGGTTTTATTCAATTGATTTAATACTCGGGTGCGTGAAAGGATGATGTTACACGGGCGGGTGTACAGTCGACAAACGTAAATACGTACAGCCATGATCTCAAGTTGTGTGCTTTTCAGCAAGTGACACTCGGTATCGGTGTTTGAACGAGAAAAAAAAAAATAAAGCGTGTATTGTCAATTTCCGAAGCTTCGCTGGTGAAGCGTCGAGTTTTTGAGCGTTTGAAAGATGATGAGTGGAAATAAACAAAAACCGTTAGACTAATCCGTGTTTTTTAAAATTTAAAGAGATGATTTTAGTAGCTCCTGAAATGCATTATTAAAAAACAAAATGTAGAGATTAACCGATCGTGACACCAAGTAACAATTAAGCAATCAACAAAGTACTCTGTAAGCAACACGGCTTTTTGAGCATGAATACCTGCTCGCAGGGCACGTTAAATATATACATATATGTTGCGCGAGTGGACTGAACGAGGGAATGCAATTTTTTTTCAATGTTTTAGACACAACGAAAGTACCAAGTTCGAAACTATAATAGTAACGTAGCAATGTCTACAATTTTTGTTCTTCTTCAAAGATTCAAAGAGAATTTTAACTCTGATCTTATATATACGTGTGTATTTCAAAGTAGAGGAACAAGTGTATTACAATTGATTTCAATGACTGAAGGGACCACGCATTATATGAATCTAAAAAAAAAATATAATTGTCAAACGATTTTGACAATTTCGAACAATGGTATTTTATAAAAAGCAGATCCGTAACGTTACGCTTGAGTTGGGTTTCGAGGTATTACGATTGAAATATATAAGTAAAACGAAGAATAAAGGCGAAATCGCATCAGTAAACGAGATTATTTTCGCCGTGACGGAGAGTACATTCGTTATTTTTGTAATCGAGAAACTTTGGTTTTTAGCAATTGTTTTTACACGTGAAATGGAAAACGCGTGACCAGAGGCTAAGAGTCGAGAGGCAGGAATATATATATATTATATACATATACATAAATATATTTTTATGCTCGTTAAATTTGACAGTATTCTGTTGACGATGATATTTTATAAATATACTCGATCGGCGCAGCTCTTCTGCCTGACGATTGAGACCATAATATACGTGTATTCCAATTCCGGCCAAGTAGAATTAATCGTATTAGAATATCATAGTTTTAGAAACGTGATCATTATTATTATTATTATTATTATTATCATTATTATTATTATTATTATTATCATTGACATAACGTCCATGTTTTCTTGAATAGAAAAATCGAACGAGGAGTGGTATACATATATATGGTGGACGAGCTGTTGATCAACTATTAGCGTTTTTCTGAGTGTTAATCGATGTATTGGGTGTAAAATATTCGCGTAGCCTAAGTGTTATTGAGAAAAGTATAAAAGAGAAACGGCAGAGTGGAAAAAATATACCGCAGTGCTTGCGGTGACAAAAAAAAAAAACAAAAATGTGTAAACGCGAGAGTCGTCCAGAATGTAATATACGTATATTGTAATGTATGTACATGTAGAATGTAACCTCAGTGATGCGAGCTTTAGAGGGATTTACGTCACGAGTCCTCTTTTTTGTATCATAAAAATAAATAGATACGTTGTACCATAGTGTTTGAAAATAATAAATAAATAAAAATGCGAGATGTATATTTCGATGGCAAAAGAAATATAGCGCAAGGACGAATTTCACCTGCGAATTTGTATCACAAGTGAGTGGTGCTTATTATTGCGAACGTTAGACGCGAACGAAGCAATTATAATACACACACAGCGTGCAATTAAATAATTAGGAAGGACAAAAAAATACCGAGGCTCCATAGATACGTAAGAGTAAGGAGAAATTAAGTAAATAGATATAAATCTAGAAAATTCAATGTTTACGAGGAAGACGCTCGTCGCCCGGATGTGTGTACGTAAAAGTAAAAAAAAAAAAAAAAAGAAAAAAAAAATTATTTAGAATAAAGATCAATCTACCAAACGAAAGATTATATTTCTTCATTTACGATTCCATCCGACAAACACAACCGATTCCTCGGCAGAGATGGACGTCCGAGTGACCCCGCGCTTGGCCGTATACACCTACACAATGTAAGGTACACGCGAGTGACCCCGTTCGCAAGTTTGACCCACAGTCGATTTTTTTTGTTCTCTCTCCCGCGGACGCTCATCCTTATTATATATATTTTCGCTTCCCAACGATTTGTTGCCACCTGTGCACACACCCGATCCATCGGCCAACCGTGCCCCGGCCGTGGGAAACGGACAAAGGTGCTGGCTCGATTGAGAGGAAAAAAACTGGAGCGCGGTACCGTTTTTTGCTCTCCCTTCGATATTATGACACGATCGCGCGCGCTCCCGATGCTCGTCCGAGCGTTTCGGCGCGCGTACACGGTGGAGAAAAAAAAAAAAAAAAAAAAAAAAAAAACCACCACGGGTTCCCCTTCAAATTTTGCAACGGCATGGTTAATGCATGACCGCGTCTTTCTCACGACGACAGAGCGTGACCTTTGCACGTATATGCAGCCAAAGATCGGTATAGTATATATGCGTTGTTACAAAGGGGGACGGAAAAATAGAAAAATCCCGCCCGTCGTGGATATGCGTGTATACACACCGAGACAACAACAACAACAACAACACCGTCGAGGGCAACGGAGGCCGAGTCGTTCAGTCGGTCGGTCGGTCGCGGGTCGGCGTGCTTGCTTAATAACACACGTATTATATATATATATATATATATACGTGCACACCCGTACAGTCGTTTTGCGCGCACGCACTACCTATATAATACCACGACACGGCGCTCGCGGCTCTCTGCTAATTAACCCAGATTTTCCCGGATTTTATGGTGAACGGGGGAGCCGCTGCAACCTGCTGCCGATGTGCAGCGCCGATTTCCCGTCGACGACGACGATTCGCACAGCAGAGGTGGAGAGAGAGGCCGACGGGAATAAAACGCACGCGCCGCGATCGGTTATATAGTCGCAGGGCCGATCGGCAACGCTGCTGACGACGCGGAGGCTCTCCCATCCTGCGCCTCTTTCAAATACATTCATCATCGTTGTATCTGGTTTTTGAAGCGCGAGGACGTATATACATTTACATACACAATGGACTCGTGCATTGTTTTTACATCTCAATCGTCGTACGCGTGAAGTGATTGCGTATCACAGGGGTGCGTCGCATCTCGATTATCAGCAAGAAATTTTAACAACGAACGAGGTAAGTTTAATACACGTATATATTATACAACCACGTGCGGGAAAAAGCGCCGATTTTTTAATTTACCGCAAACGAATAACATACATGTAGCTTACGAGCTTTCGTGTGCACGCGCGCAGAGATGACGTGAAATTTAATCTAACGGCTAGGTGGACGGGATCGGTGGCTGAGTCGAGAATTATCCAGATGATGGCTGGGGGCTAAATACAAGCGAGCACTTTTACCCATGCCATCCCTCCGTGGTTGTTAATTGATTATAGATGATTACACCAGAGGCCTCATTTCGGGATCGATTAGCGCGCGCTCGATCGCAAGAGCTTTTGGATGGATTAGTTTAAATTGCCACGGGGATGATGTTGTGTGGGAGCTTTTGCGTGACGTTTACGCAATCACGTATGAATAAATCGTCACGAGTGCAATTATAGACGCTCGAGGGATCGGCAATTGATCGCTCGGTGTGAAGCGTCTAAAAGAAGATCGCTCGATTGCCGCATGGTTGGCGATGTGTTTCGATCAAAGTGTCACGCGAGCCTTTGCCTGTACAATAGAGAGGATAAAAGATAAACTATATGGCACCAATATGTTCCGATAAAACTCCAATTACTTTGGAGCAGTGCTCGTTTTAGTGAATAACACTCGTTTGCCGGTTCGGTGATGTGTGAATAAGCGAAAAGCAAATGATATACCATCCGCCTTTGCGAAATAATGTACCCTTGGTGTGAATGAGCACGGATTTCCGAGTCAATTGTAGACGATTTGAAAAAAAAAATGAGAGCACAGTATAGTATACCGTTTTTTAAATATTATTCATCACAGCGTGAGTACAACTACTAATTTAGCTCGTTGCCCCAAATCTGTTTCTGATGATCTGATGTTCTATTTTTTTTTTTTTTTTTTTTTTTTTTATAAATTTTAAAAAAAATGGGATTTTGTTTTTTTTTTTTTTTTTTTTTTTTTTTTTTTTTTTTTTTTATGCAAATCTCCATATTTTGCATGTATGAAGAAAGTAAAGAAGAAAAAAAAAGATCACGCTATATACTTTACCGTAGTAATCAGAGGTGCGGTTTTTTAATACCGTTCGAATGTATTGACATTGAAAATATGTAATAATAAAAGACTTGTACTCAAGATCGGTACCTGAAGAAATGATGATTGGTTAAATTATCATGTGCTGCACAATCCATGCAGGTGCGCAATGTCACGACGATGCATCCGATTTTCAGATCTATAGCCACGAAGAGGACGGCAGACGGTAAAATGCGCCTCGCCCGCGGGTGCCAAGTAAAACCTCGGAAGGTATAAAAAAAAAAAAATCGGCATCAGAGGGCCAAAGGAAGGAAAGCGAGGAGAAACAATGTCGGAGGGTTGCACGAGCTGTCGAGGCACGAGTTACGGAGGAGGAGGTCTCCAGCTGTCCGGCGGCTCGGGATGCGGCAGCTGCCACCCGGTCTCCCCGCCGACCTCCGCCGCCACACCGGCCGGCCCCGCCGCGCTGGCCAAGAGGCGCGTGCACGTGCGCGCCAAGGTACTCTACGGCACTGGCAAGGCCATCGCGAGCCTGCAGGCCCAGGAGAAGGCCGCGCGACGCTAACCACCCCGAGGTTTGTCGATATTTTCAAGTAACACTCTCCCATTGGCGCGTTGTGCCCCATATATAGAGTTAATCAACGGCTTCAGATCGGTGGCCTTGAGAAAATGTGTTTTGCACCGCGTCTTTTCCCCCCTCCACCGCAGCGCACGTTGTGAATTTTATCGAATCGTGTTTTATTTCTTCTTCTTTGCCCGATTAATCCAAGATGAGAGAAAAAAACAAACAAAACAATTACCAACTCTCACATTAGTTACGTGATGATTACGGTAGATTTTCGATTTTATAGTTTTGTATGAATAACATACACTTGAGATATAGAAAGGATTAGAACTCGAACACTCCGGTATCGTTCTGAATGTCGAATCTACCTCTCTACCGATTCTAAACGATCAGCCAAGAGTAAATAATTTGTTTTCGAGCTCCACGATGGATAAAAAGATCACCACCAACAGGTGGTTTGGACGAAAAGGCAACCGATCGCAAGGGCTGATTTATTAGTAGATACACAATCAACACCAACGTAGGCATAATTGTGGGATGGACGGTATGTTGGTATACGCACTGTACACGAGGGCGTTGGTATATGGATTTCGGGTCGTCGACCAGCATCTCCCGCTCGCGTGGACGTATATACTCGAGTAGGTATATGTACACATCGCGAACCGATCGCCGTCGCCGCTCTTCTCTCCCCGTGCCGCGCGCGTGCACGTGTTGTATTTACGCGCGTGTAACAGTAATCGACCAAAAAGAGGAGCATGCATACGTTTATAATGTGTACACGCGAGGCTTGGCCTCTGCGTGTACGTACATACAAGTGAGCGAAATGAGTATTGAGATGAGGAGGGGGGGAAGGGTAACCGTTAAAAAAAACGAGCCGGATGAGTACGTTACAAGCGATACGAAGGAGGAAGAGCGTTTAAGACGAGGCGCCCGAGCGAGCGCCGGTTTAGTTGGCCTTAGACCGGCCGCCCCGTGGCTCCGTATACCGATTTATCCCCCTCTCGTGTTGTTTTTTTTTTGTTTAACTTGATGAGGATACTCCGAGATGACCGTGCGCTCGTTCACCCCGTGAGTCTTTTTGTTTGTTTGGTCTCGTTTCGCGCGTGTACATACGTATAATGGCCAGGTTGGATTCCAGGTGTCTAACGATTATCGCCTTAGCGATCGCGTCGGCCGTGAAATCGTCCAGCAATGGGACGTTGGGTCACCGGGGTCATCAAAAAATCGGCAACGAACGATCGGGCAGGGAGACGACGCTCGAGGGGATGGCCGGCCCGAGGGCTTCGTATCCCGAACCGCGTGAGGAGGACCTGATCGAGGCTGCCGATTTTGGCATACGGGCCATGAACGAGCTCTACGATCTCAAGGAACCGAGGCTCTACAAGATGGGTCAGTGAAACTCAAAAATATACGTTTTGGTTGTTTTTTTTTTCTCCATACCAAGGAAAATCGTTCAACAGGTCTCTACCTGAGACCGGACAACCCGGCGCGCTTCGTCGCCGCGTTTAACGATCAGAGCGAGGAAGCCAGGCAACTGGCGAGGTTCGGCTACGCGGCCCTCGAAGCCTCCACCAAGTTTCGCAGCAAGTAAGGCTTAAAGCTTATTCGATTTTTTTTTTTTTTTTTTTTTTACGCTGAACACTCGAATCAACTACCATCGATAATCTAGATTTCCCGACCTGCTGCGCCAGGCGAGTTTCGATCGCGCCGCCAACAGGAGCCCCCTTCGGCAGCAGTGCCCGAAAAAGGGCATCCCACAGTGCCCCCCGGCGAGCCTGAGGTACCGAACCACCGACGGCAGCTGCAACAACCTCAAGGAGCTCTGGTGGGGATCGGCAATGTCCCCGATGCAGAGGTACCGAAAAATCGGTTGAAACCAAAAGAGACGTATAGGTAATTGTTTAACTTGTTTTTGTCAAGATTTCTGCCGGGCGTGTACGACGATGGAATACAGAGCGTGCGAAGATCGGTAACGGGGGCCGAGCTGCCGAGCGCCCGGCAAATAAGCGACCGCGTGCACGAGGAGCGCGACGTGCCCCTCACCTCCGTCACCCACATGCTCATGCAGTGGGGCCAGTTTATCGATCACGACGTCACGGCCACCGGCCAGAGCACGGCTTTCAACGGCTCGATACCCCAGTGCTGCCTCAACGGTGGCGTGGGCGTACAACCACCCGAATTTCTGGTAATCCTTCTTCGTTTCCTTTAAAAAAAGAAAAGAAAAGAAAAAAAAAAAGAAAAAAAAACCATTGTGTTTGCGTGAAAAGCACCCCGAGTGTTTGCCGATCTCGGTGGAGCCGCGAGACAGTAGGCTCGGCAAGCTGGGCGTGCGGTGCATGGAGTTTGTGCGCAGCGGAGCGGTGCCGCGGGAGGACTGCGAGTTTGGCACCCGCGAGCAACTGTCCCAGGTGACGAGCTACATCGACGCCTCCACGGTATACAGCAGCAGCGCCCGACAGGGCGACACTCTGCGCGTCTTTCGAGGAGGTCTCATGCAGTACGGGAAGTTGCAACCCCAGCGGCCGTTCCTGCCCAAGGAGGAGGAGGAGTCGGATCTCTGCAGGCGGGGCTCCCTGTCGACCAACTGCTTCCGAGCCGGGGACATACGGCTGAGCGAGCAACCGGCCCTCATATCGCTCCACGTGGTCTTTCTCAGGCTCCACAACAGCCTCGCCGCGCGCATGGCCGGCCTCAACCAGCACTGGGGCGACGAGAAGGTGTTCCAGGAGACGCGCCGCATCGTCGGAGCCATCGTCCAGCACGTCACCTACCGCGAGTTCCTCCCGATAGTTCTCGGTTGGTTTTCGTCGATCGGGTGTGGATGGGGTTTTTCTTCTCTTTGTAACTCTCGGGTCTTTTTCAGGCCACGACGTGATGAAGCTCTTTGACATCGAGCTCCGGCCCAGGGGCTACTACGACGGGTACGACGAGACCGTCAGCCCGAACGTGGCCAACGAGTTCTCGGCCGCGGCCTTTCGCTTCGGCCACTCCCTCGTCCAGCCCAGCTTCGTGCGCTTCGACGCCAACCACCGGCCCATCCCCAACAGTTAGTCCACAACTATACTTTGCAACGATACGTGTATAATAACCCATGGGTGTGTGTTGGTTACACTGGCCGGTTCGTGTTTCAGACGTGTCGATACACGAGGAGTTTAGGAACCCGGGGAACCTGGAGAGCCCGGGCTCGGTGGACCGGTTGCTGCTCGGGCTGGTGAACCAGCCGGCCCAGAGGAGGGACGAGTTCATATCGGAGGAGCTGACTGGCCACCTGTTCCAGACGCCGGGTTTCCCGTTCGGCATGGACTTGGCCTCGATCAACGTCCAGCGGGGCAGGGACCACGGTATCCCGGCGTTCGCCGACTACCGGCTTCCCTGTGGGCTGAGTCCGGTGCGCGACTGGACCGATCTCGAGCGTGTACTCACCCCCCGATCGGCGGGCAAGCTCCGCGACCTGTACGCGGCAGTGGAGGATGTCGACCTGTTCACCGCCGGTCTGGCCGAAAAACCGGTCGCGGGTGGACTGGTCGGGCCGACCTTCGCCTGCATCATAGCCCAACAGTTCCGCAACCTGCGCAAGGGCGATAGGTTCTGGTACGAGAACCCCTTCCTCGAGAACGGCTTCACGCCCGCCCAACTGCAACAGATACGCAAAGTCACCCTGGCCCAAGTCTTGTGCTCGACCATGCACAACATCGACGACATCCAGGTGTTTGTGATGCTGGCCGCGGATAACTTTAGGAACCAGAGGCTATCCTGCACCGACCCGGCGATGGGCCGGATCGACCTGACTCCGTGGACGGAAAAACCGAGACGCCGTAGATCGGCCGAGGAGGAGGAGGAGGTGGAGGCGAGAGGTGCAAAGAAGAAGCAGTCGCCGATGAAAACGAGGATCAGCCAGCACAACAGGATCGCGGTGAGGCGGCCTCTCGGGCCCCGCGAGAACATAACGATCGTGGTGAACAACAACGCGGTTAACGCCCCGGTTATCGTCACCGACTCCGTCTACGGCTCGAGCGTCCACGTCAACCGGTTTCCCGCGGGACCCTACTTCCCCCACAACTTCCAGGACCCCGACAATCCGAACCCACCGAGCTACGGATTGAGTCCCAAGCCGCTGAACGACCATGTCCCCAACAACGAGTTCTTCGCGCAGCTGGACCCCCACCAGCGCTACTCGTACTTGTCGACCCCAACTCCGCGGAGCCCTTTGGCCACGAGAACTCCGAGACCGGTGACTAGGGTGACCACGAGGCGTTCACCGCATACCGATCGCGACGAAGACCAGACCAGGGGCACGGGCTTGTACGGGCATCCGACGAAAAAGGGCACCTCGAATCGAAGGTACTCCGATACGGGTGCTCACAAAAAGCCGACCAGCAGCGAGAGACCCGGTCAAGGTGCCTCGACTCATTACTTGGTTAGCGTCGTCGTGGGAGGCGGAAGTACGAGTGGTTACCCGGTGAGGAAGTCCAGCCCCAAACCTAGCAGTCCCAACAATGGCCACGTGGCTGGTAGTACATCGGGTTACTCGACGATCGGTAGACCATCAGCGACCACCAAGCCGGTGACCAGTCAGACGCAAAATTACAATTTTCACGCGGGCGCCGTCCCGGAGGTCAATGGAAACGGGGACCAAGAGGGGGGTGATTTGTTGCGAAAACCCGTTTATTTGCACACCCACACGACCATATCCGACGTCAAGTACGTCGAGTCGGGGCTGCCGCAGAGGCATCAGGTGACGTTTGACCCGGAACTGCCAAGGCCGATATTCTTTTTGCAAAACAGAGCTGCCTCGGGTGGAACTTTGGTGGTCGACAAAGAGACCGAGTTGACGACCGATCGGGTAAACGAGTATTTGGCGCAAACCACCTCGAGCAGTGACGTTGTTGAAGAAAACACAGCAGGGTATGTTTTTTTCGTTACTTGTTTCTTAGAAANACCGATATTTCCTTCCACGACGTTAAAATCGACTAGGACATGAAATAGACTGTTTTTGGTGGTATGGCATGTACACATAGTTATTACTCAGTTGGAAAAATTAATTTTATATGAAATAATATTTATTGACGTAGTAAAAAAAACCATAAAAATAATATAGATTTAATATATGAAGAAATAAACACTATATTTACTTTAACAGTCATGTGTACATCTTTATTCTTGTTAAAACAATTTTTTTGCTTCTCACGCAAGTTTATAATATTCACTGTAACTAATAATTAAACTTTTACTAAAAGATATGCATCAGGTTTTTTATGTTGAGATTATTTCAGCACAGATCTGATTTTAGACTTTACTAATTTATTCTCATAATGTCTTTTCACGAAATCGATGCACTCAACTTAAACTTAAACTATATGAAAAAATAAATAAATAATAATAATAAACCTAATTTTATTGTACATAGATCGTGATAAAATTTGAAAATTGAATGTAAAATTAAAAATATAAAATGTAACTTGACTAACAGAGTTTGTCGACAAATTTGCTTGGTAAGAAAATAGTATACTTCATACTACATCGATTACTTCAACAATTTATTTCTGCACAACTTAATACTTAAAATACGCAATGAATTATATTGGTTTATGTTGCGAGCGCTTTGTAAAATATTAGACGGGTTACTAATTTTTTTAGTGTAAATGAACTTTTAGAAATGCAAGGTTCTTTAGTAACAATTTAATTCGGACGATAAGAGCTAATTAAGAATTTTCAGGAGATAAAATTTTGTTAATAATAGATTTGTTCGGGATTTAGCTTGGGTCACTCCGAGCTGCTCCAAGCTAAACCCCGAACAAATCTATTGTTCTAATACTTATAGTTGTATACCGAAAACACACAGACACGATGTCCATGCTGACGTTACATTAATCATTCAATTTTCAAATATTGATAATTTTTCAATTATTGACATCTGAATATTCCAAACACAAAAGAGCTTGAATAGTCGGGAATTTTATGAGGGTTTGAAAATGTATGACATTATAAAAAATCATATTGATAAATCACATAAGCCTCAGATTTCATTGGTTTCGGTACTTATTCTTGGCTCTTTCTTGAGCTGTGCCCACCTACTCCTGTTCCTCACGTGCGTGACAGTAGCCATCTGATGGGAATCGCTGATTCTAAAATTAAAAAAAATTTTTTTTTTCCTCATCCGTCACTTTTTGTTGTAAAGGAGCTTAAATGCTTATTTTTAATAAAACGTAATGCACGTACTCTTCCGTAAAACTGGCCAAATCCGCTTTGGGGGTTTTTTGCAGGCCAATGAATTTTACACTCAAAATTACCATGGGAAAGAAGAGGAACAGGCACCATCCGATGCTCAGCCAGTACCCATTCTGCAAAGTAGACATTTTTCGGTGATGAAAAAAAAAAAAAAAAAAAAAATTACCGATTTCCATGTGACAAATGTATGACTTACAAATGGGTCGAGGATATTTTCGCAGCCAATAACTATTGTCCTCGCTATTGTCGCGTTGTACAACTTCGATAGCGGAGCACATCTGCCAAACTCGTTGGTGATGCTGTGCAGGACTTGAGGGAAAAATTCGCCAATCCGATTCTTCAGAGACGCTCCCATGCTCGCGACCATCTGTACACATCAGATTGAAGACTCATTAGATTTATAAATATTATTATTAAAATTATGATTGCGTTGGAAAAAATGTATTGTATACTTTTTTCATAGCTATGGTCGCGTCATAGTTGAACCAATGCTGGGCACCTTCCACGTCTACGATAAGATTATTCACAGCTTTTTGCATCGACGTAGCATTTAATTGTATCCGCTTGACAGTGAAGATCAACTTTTCACCCATCGATACCGTATCATTGACCTTTTTGTCGAGCTTCATCAATTCTCGAGATAAATTTATGAGTTTTTTTTTACCATCAACACTAGTCACACTACTACTGGAAAGTTCACTAAGTATTTTTGCGTATTCACGCATTTCGGTGCTCGCAAACTTTTTTTTTAAAAAATTGTCCATTTCATCGAAACAAATTTTATTTACTGCACTACTAGCCAATTTTTTCAGTTTTTCCTTGATTTCTGGATTCATAAACTCGTACTTGCCATCCAGATTTATTTTATTTATAGACTCATCGATGGTTTTGTTGAAATCAAACCTGTCGATGTAGTTTTTCCAAACTTCGGCAATTACGTCGTCTTTTAAGTGTAATCCTCTTATCAAAGTGTCGTTTTTGTGGCAAGAGCTATACAATCAATAAATCATATAATCATCGTAATTAAGAATAAAGATAGTAAAGACACGATTAAAAGTACAAAAAAACTTACTCGATAAATTCATAGAGGCTCCAATTTGATGATGTGTAATTTGAGCTCTCGACGTGTATTTTTTCACTCACGACTTCCATAATTCGACTGTCACGGGGATTTTTGAGCGTTTCACAGACGATACGCTCACTCGGAACACCCACCAGCATCTGCGCCACGTTTAGCACGACCAATACACTCGTCATGCAAAATATGGTCCAAATGGCTCTTTAATCATCAACCAACTTTCATTTGCATTTTTTTTACCATTTAAAATAATTATCTAGAAAAATGGCACCTACGTTGACAATAGATAGAATCCGCAGCCGTTGTGACTATCTGGTTTTGACACCGTGAAAATGGCCCCAAGAAGTACCAGTATGGACATCAGGAATATGGTGGCACAAACAACGAGACCAACAATGTACCAATAAACCGAGTACTTGTTAATGTCGAGCATTTTATCCTTTACAAGAGATTTGGTTTCCAAAAGAGTTTTGTTTAGTATTTTAGTCTCGTATTGGATCAGCTCGAAGATACGTTTACGTGCCCCCTCAACTTTGCCTCGAACTTCTGATATGGACTGGCTGGTCTTTTGCTGGATTTTGGCCTCAAATTCCATCAACTTTTCTTTCCTCTTGTCTACATTTGCCATAACTTCTTTGTTGTTAAACAGCTTCTCTATTTCTCTCTGAGCGTATTTAACATCTTTCAAGGACACCTGAAAATAACGTAAGTTTAAAATAAGTGCCTTGGAAATTCCATAATAAATTATGCATATAATCGTATTTTCATTTGATCTACTTCTTTAAGTTTTCCTTTAATGCCACTTGTAATTTTATGTTTATCCCAACACTGCTTTTCAATAGTGGGACTAATTGTATTTAACTTTTCACAAAATCTTGAAAGTTCTAAGAATATGTAAAATAAATGAATAAGGCCTGATAAAAAAAGGAAGCAATGTATATATTAACTCACCTTCGTCGATTTCCGTAACATTATTTTTAAGGTTATGAAACACTTGGACCACAAACCTCAGATTATCTCTCATATAGCCAAGGTCTAATACCATATTATTGATGTTCTCAAAAATGACGATTCCTGGAAACTCTTTTAATTTACCATTTGCTGACTCACTGCCATTGACTATTATTGACGCAAGTTCTTTCACGAGCTTTTGCAAGTTCTGCTGCACGAACATCTCCCCTTCGGCACTGCAAGCAAATAGATGAATTGGAATATCAATTAAGCAAATGAAAAAATATTTTAGTAGGAAATCAAGGGCTCGATTTTTCATCGGATCACGTTACGTACGTGATGCTGGTAATGTACACCTGAAGATCTTCCGTGGCATTGTCCAAGTGGTCGGGCAATTCACGAGTACCCCTCCGCACAGCCAAACTGGAAAGTGTCGCAAAGGAGAGGCCCAACACCATCAGCACCAACACCAAAAGCAGTGCCAGGACCAGCAGGTTTTTGCGGAGGCGCTGGTTTTTGCTGTACTTTCGGTTCTTCCGGGAGATGCAGCGACAAACGCAGCAACCGATGAAGGGAAGGATCACAGCCAGTACCAGTAAAACTATCGACAATGCGGTCAAGAAGCCGTAGTGCTTCAAAAGTTTGCCGGTGTTCCACTTGACTTCGATGATGTTATTCTCATTTATGTCGATGAAACCTGTTGACATTTTTTTTTACGTTACTGTACATGTAGGAGAGAAGAAGGTAATTATCGGGGAAGAATTTACCAAATACGTCGATCTACAACGTTACGAAATGGAATGCGTAGTTTGACTTATAAAAACGAAATTTCTCTCTCATTTGAGTTGAAAAATTCAGTTAAACGCTTTGTCCATCCATACANTTTTTTTTTTTTTTTTTTTTTTTTTTTTTTTTTTTTTTTTTTTTTAATAAACATGTTTGATGGGTTCGTTCCTCAACATGATAGCTGGTCATAGTAAATTTCAAAAATATGTGGAAATAATTAGTGTCAGTGAGAATTATCACCTGTACACACAGAGAGAGGATAAGGAGTACTTGTAAATAACGTTCAACTGGTGCACGTTCGTTGTAACTGTTCAGACTAAAATTTTTTTTCACAAAACCTTATCATTTTATGATACATTTCACTATTACTAAATATCTTATCTGTTTTCGTTAATGATGTATAAAAATAACTATTTTATTCACTGCATAATATTTCGCTGTGAATCAAACTGACTTTGGACAAAAAGTTAGAGAACAAAAAGTAAGACTTCAGCATGACTTGTTCAAGAAATAAATTAATTGGTAGACTGATCTTACTGAAAATATCCCGTATTAGACCATTTCACTGGCCCACTGTAGAAGAACCACCTAAAAATTCATTTATGAGGATTTTATTTGTAGAAATCTCCATATTTTTTTTTTATGACGCAATACTATTATTATTATTAGATAAACATTACTTTGAATTTTAAAATTGGTTTAAAATAAATTTAAAACACGCGTACGTGTAGGTATAGCACGAGCTAAGCCATTGCCAGCATTGCAGCATGTTTTTGTTCCCCTCACCTCTTTAAACTGGTTCTAAAGTATGCATACTTTATTAATTACCATATTACACTGTGATGAGTACAATAGTTATTGTCCGAGTGTTCTATTTTAAATTAATATCGGAAATAATTGTCTCACCCTCGGGAAGTGCCTCTTTGCCTTGAATCAGATCAATGAATCCATTGGTGAGGGCATAAAGTGCTTTCATGGAACTCGCGTGATTGGCTTCGGTCTGAACTTTGTACTCCACCGAATTTGCATTTTCGCCGACGTGCGTGTAATTTATCGGTGGAAAGTCACTGGTCGTACCATTTCTCAAGTCATCCACAGCCGTCGATGCCCCACAGACGAGGAGCATAGGGGCCAACGCCAACCCGCACCGCCAAAACTTCATTTTTTACTATTTTTTACTTTTATTCTTCATGAAAAATGTTCTAAGTGTATTACTGTCAGAGGTATCTAAGCTGTTACTAAACGACAGAGTAATCAATGTACGTTGTAATACCGAGACACTTAGAAGCTCATTTATGCTTCGAGATAGTAATTGATAGATAGCACTTAACATGAGCACTGAGGCATCATTTTAATTGTCGGTAGCTAAATGGTAGTAAGAAAAAAAAAAAAAAAGAAAAAAAAAGTTACTTTCAGATGGTACTGTTGGTAAAAAAAAAAGAAGTTTTTCTGCTATAATATTGTTACGTGATATTTTCAACGTTAGCTGTCAAAGACAAAGTTGTTGTCAAAAATTTGTTTTACCCAAACTCAAGGGTACTTACACTTTTTGCTCTGGCAAAAGTATAAGGCTATGGTGAGTATCAGTCATGCCTTAAAAAAAACTATGAGTACAAAATTTGGCAAGTCTTGCTTCGGCAGTTCATTGACTGCACGTCGAAACAGGGGATATATGTCGAATCGAACATACCCCAAGCGATGCCCAAGTTTTTTAAGACTAGACCTCACAGTTACGTGCTTCTACTAAATTAATTAATTAGCAGGTGCTTTTTTTAGCGAATCATGCCTCAATAGGATAGCTATCGAATGAACGTCTTTTAGTGAAATAAAGTACAGATCTTTTTGATTGTGAGTAAAAAAATTGGATTTTTATTTGATGTTTCATTCTTCCTTCAATCAAGTACATAAATTGTTTATAAATTTGTTTTATTACAATCAGTACTACCAATAAGAAAAAAAATCGTAACATCCATTTAGTTTTATTTTTGAAACTGTCACTTTCCGTACCATGAATATTTTTTTTTAATACGCCCTTGATGAAAAACACTTGTATTTGCTGCATGAGCGCAATTCAAACTCTCACATTTATACCTAATTGGACAATTTTATCTAAAGATAAATAGCGGCGTTACGAAAAAAATGTTTGTCACTGCGCTTATCAATTAATAAGTACACTGGTGCACATAGGTAGAAAAAATAATTAATGCATCAAGTATCGCATACATAATGACGACACATGATCCTATTCGCTCCGAGCCGATGCAGAGGTTGCGCCCCCTCTAGCCAAAATCAGGCAACATTTCTTGCATGTAAACAAACGGTTTAGAACATATATACATACGTACAGCTGCTTGTGATTGGCACTTGGCAAGCTAGAGAGAGAACGACGATCCTCTCCTGCTGTCTTTTTCAGCCAATCACAAGCAGCTATACGTATGTATATATGTTCTAAACCGTTTTTTTACATGTAAGAAATGTTGCCTGATTTTGGCTAGAGGGGGCGCAACCTCTGTATCGGCTCGGAGCGAATAGGCATTCGATATAATCTGATTTCTTTCCTTCCGTGGTGCAACGTATTTTTGCATTAGACGTTGCACAGGACGAAAAGTCAACTTTCTATTTGTTAAGAGATTTCTGTTTAACTATACTAAAAATTTTTTAAAAACGCATGAAAAAAAATTGATTTGCTTATGTTGCTTAATTGTTTCCGAATCAGCTTCCAAATTTTTTTATAGATACGAACATCTCGAAAATAGCATGTCTCGGAAAAGTGGTAAAAATATTATTGTACTCGACTACCACACGCTAAATACTGCACATTCAACATCCACTTGAAACGTGTCCACATAATTTAACAAGTGACAAAAAAATATACGTGTAAATTTTTACATTTAAACAAAAATTATTATAAACTTAATAGTGACTTCTAGAGGAGCGCCAACTATACTGTCTTCTAAACTGATTGTCATTTCCCCGCGTGGGATAATTGGACTTTTTCATCCCTCTCAAGTTGTTTGGATCTATGGTGGCTTGTGATTGATAATCTCCCGGGCTGAAATCAAAGTTTTTTTTTTGTTTTTTTTTTTTACCAAATAAAGTAAGTTTTCGAGGCTTTCTAGTTACCGATGATGCATTGATGATTAATGTCCTTACCCAACAAATAAATATTTCGAATCAATGTAAGGCCTTTTCTGCAGGGAAATGAATTTCACGCTGAAAATGACCATGGGAACAAAGAGAAACAGGCACCACCCGACGCTCAGCCAGTACCCATTCTACGTGTGCCAAAAAAATAAATCAAATCGTGGATAAAAATGTCAAAATATAAGTACCATTGTTTAATTTTCTCTGAAAAAAATATAACTTACGAACGGGTCGAGGATCTTGTCGCAGCCAGCTACTATCGTCGCGTCGTACAAATTCGACAGCGGAGCGCATCTGCCAACCTTTTGCGCTACGTTGCTCGACACGTGAGTGAGGAACTCGTCAACGCGATTTTTCAAAGACGTTCCAAAAATCGTGGCCAGCTGCGTTGCGTTGGACAAAAAATTCATTAATAACACTTTCATTTGATCATTGTAAACGTATTTCATGCGATGATTACTTCTTTTATGGAAGTGGTGGCGTTATGGTTGACCCAATGCTGCGCGCCCTCTACGTCCTCGATGAGGTTTTCAATGGCCTCTTGGATCGACGTGGCGTTAAATTTTATCTGCTCCCGCAGTCGTTCAACGGTGCCGATTAAGCCGCGGCCCTGGTTGGTCATATTGACGATCCTTTCCCCGAGTTTTTCCAAATCTTGAGCGCATTTCACCACCTCCGACCTCGAGGGGTGGCCATCGGGCAATTTTTCGGAAAAACTGCGGAGTTTCTCCGCAAATTCGTGCGAATCGAAGCCCGTAAAGTTCTGCTTCAAAACCTTGTCTATTTCCTCGAAATTGATTTCGTTGACCGCGCCGTTGGCGAATTCTCGTAGTTGTTCCTTCGTCCCGTTGTTCATCAACTCGTAGTCAAAGTTGAGGTTTATGCCGTTCACGAGATCGTCGATTCTTTTGTCAATGTCGTAACTGTCGGTGTAGTTTCTCCAAACTCCAGTGATTGTGGCTTCTTCCAACTTCAATCCTTTGGCCAGAGCATTGTTTTCGCGACAGGAGCTGCAGCCAAACGAAATACCGTGACAATCATCACTTTGGAGTATAACAAATTACGAATTTTTCGTTCAAAAATGGAAAAGAAGGGTCTCACTCTATTAAATCGTGGAGGCTCCAATTTGGTGACAGAAGTGATCCATACTCCAAGCTCCCGATGTATATTGTTTTACTTGCTACTTGAACAATCTGGCTGTCACGGGGATTCTTGAGCGATTCGCAGACCATACGCTCACTCAAAATACCTACCAGCATATGCGCCACGTTTAGCACGACCAGTATACTCGTCACGCAAAATATCATCCATACGGCCCTTGAATTGTCAAATATTATGAATTACGAGTTTTTTCAGACGAATGGAATTGTAGAGAACTTACGTCGTCAAGAAACAGGAGCCACAGCCTTTGTCGTAATCTTTTGGGTTTTTGTCGCACATGCCACACATGGCACCGAAAAGTACCAGTACGGATATGACGAGTATGGTGGAACAAACGACTATGCCAAAAATGTGCCAATAAGCCGAGTACTTGTCAATGTTGAGTCTTATATCGTTTATGGCAGGTTTGGTGTGATTGTCCACCAACTCGGATAACGTTTCGTTTATCCATTTGGTCTCATTTTTGAAAACTTTGGTCAAGTTTTGGCTTACGTCCGAAACATTGTCCACAATCTTGGATACAGATAGATCGACCTTTTGTTGGATTTCGCTCTTAATTTTTTCCAACTCCTCCCTGCCCTTCAGTGCGTTGCTCAGTATTCCCTTGTCGAATAGCTCCTTGATTTTGCTTTGGGCGTTTTTCACGTCATCGACTGGCAACTGTGGCATAATTTGTCATCGTGATTCGCGCTTCAGAAATGTTTGCAACAAATTATTAATAAATCAAGGAGTACTAACTTTTTCGAGTATTTCGGCTGTTTTTATACTGTAACTTTTGATTTCGTCTTGGATACGTTTGCTTTCCTCGTTGCCATTAAATTCCAGCACGGATATCAATTTATCCTTGATTGTGGAAAACTCTGGAAAAAAAATCTGTACAACCAACAAGAAAATGGTCAAAAATTCATTCATTGACTTGTGAAATTACCATTGTCGACTATTGTTGCTTCCTGTTTAAGGGAAAGGACAATTTCAATGATCGATCCAAGACTTTTTTCCACGTCCTTGAGGCCATTTACCATTTCTTCGAGTTTGTCGAACACGTCGCTTATACGTGGACCCCATTCCATCAACTTATTGATTACCCATTCGCTGCACCTGTTTAGCATTGAAATGAGCTCTTCCGCCAACTTGTGGAAATTATCTATCAGCAGTACGTCCATTTCCGCGCTGTAGGTAAGCAGAGAAAAATGGAATAGGAAATGAGAGATGAGAAATATCAATTGTCAAGAAACGCTCAAGTTCATAAATTTGCCCCCCTCCCTATAAACCCATCGAGAGTCGGAAGCCAATGGAAGCTTGACTGTTACTACAAAAGATGGAAATCAAGTTCTTGAACTTTCCGGACTAAATATCCAAGAGTGCTAAGTTGTACATAATAACACACTAGTTTTTTTTAATTGCTATCAAAAATACATAACGTGTGTAATTATTAAACTTTTTCTAATTACGTACAGCTTCAACACGATTGCACGTGTCTCGGCTCAGTGCAAAACTCTTTTGTTTTATTTTATTTTCACTTAAGCAACTTCGGGGACCCGCTATTTTAAGTACTGCATAATCAAGCGATGGCTCCAAATCTAGTTCCTTCGGTTGGCTGTGAATGGTTTTCTAATTTTATCATAATATTTTTCTATAAAACACACGAATGCAATTACCTCGACTTGTAATAATCAACACATTGGATTATTTGTTCTCGTTTCAAATTCCTTTCCTATTCATCGCTAAGTTGTACCTACGGGGTCATTATTTCATAAATTTATCCAAAAGACCCTACACAAATTTACGTACATGATGCCGGTGGAGTACACCTGAAGATCTTCCGTGGCATTGTCCAAGTGGTCGGGCAATTCACGAGTACCCCTCCGCACAGCCAAACTGGAAAGTGTCGCAAAGGAGAGGCCCAACACCATCAGCACCAACACCAAAAGCAGTGCCAGGACCAGCANAAAAGAAAAAATTAAAAAAAGCTTTCATTTTGTTTTGTAAACATCTAAAAAGTTCAGCATTAAAATTTATGACTTCTCGAGTATAGTTAGCTTGATAAATTTATCGACTGATAACGGTATTTTGTACTTGGAAATATTGGCGGAAATGCTGTCTGTGGAAATTTTGTCCATGACCCCAATTAAAAGTTGGTTTGCAGCTAGCTGAAGTAATACCTATTTTGTAAGAGGAAAAAAAATGTTAATGGAAAGAGCTTATCATCTTAAGAGGTGAATGTTACTCTTTCTTAGGAATTCGGAGATGCATATGGCTGGTANCAGATTATCTCTCATATAGCCAAGGTCTAATACCATATTATTGATGTTCTCAAAAATGACGATTCCTGGAAACTCTTTTAATTTACCATTTGCTGACTCACTGCCATTGACTATTATTGACGCAAGTTCTTTCACGAGCTTTTGCAAGTTCTGCTGCACGAACATCTCCCCTTCGGCACTGCAAGCAAATAGATGAATTGGAATATCAATTAAGCAAATGAAAAAATATTTTAGTAGGAAATCAAGGGCTCGATTTTTCATCGGATCACGTTACGTACGTGATGCTGGTAATGTACACCTGAAGATCTTCCGTGGCATTGTCCAAGTGGTCGGGCAATTCACGAGTACCCCTCCGCACAGCCAAACTGGAAAGTGTCGCAAAGGAGAGGCCCAACACCATCAGCACCAACACCAAAAGCAGTGCCAGGACCAGCAGGTTTTTGCGGAGGCGCTGGTTTTTGCTGTACTTTCGGTTCTTCCGGGAGATGCAGCGACAAACGCAGCAACCGATGAAGGGAAGGATCACAGCCAGTACCAGTAAAACTATCGACAATGCGGTCAAGAAGCCGTAGTGCTTCAAAAGTTTGCCGGTGTCCCACTTGACTTCGATGATGTTATTCTCATTTATGTCGATGAAACCTGTTTACATGTGCCATTATTAGTAATTGTTTAGTCAAACTCACGATTGTTTTATTGATGGATTTTATTATTAGAGTGTATGGCCCAACGAGGCAGAATCGGATTAGTCTCGAGAAAACCACCTGGAGTTGTGAAAACTTGATAAGGCGCGTCTTATCTCTCCCTCGGCGTTTTATTGTCCGTGTGGTAGTCGCGTTGCTTTTGAAAGCATTTTGCGTGTGTGTGTTTGGTACGATAAATGACGTCAGGATAGTATTTAAAGAAAGACAATTTTATCTAAAAAAATGTTTCGGCCTCGTTAATTGTATCGATCCGCCGGAGTCGATGCCACTTTAATTTAATCAAAATTTTTCATGCGCGCTAGATAAGATAGGTGTGATTCATCTTGAAGGTACCTCTTATTTTTCCAGAAATAAGGCCAAACAGCGAAATTGAAATTTTTCTGCACTCCCTGCCGCGTTACACTCGTCCGATCTTTCAAGACTCGGATACTTCTTACTTCAATCCCAATTATACATCGCAATTACCGATCAAATTAACGATTGGGAAAATGTGTTGATAAGCATTGGCACATTTCCAACCGATGAATTGGAAAAAAAGTCTCACCCTCGGGAAGTGCCTCTTTGCCTTGAATCAGATCAATGAATCCATTGGTGAGGGCATAAAGTGCTTTCATGGAACTCGCGTGATTGGCTTCGGTCTGAACTTTGTACTCCACCGAATTTGCATTTTCGCCGACGTGCGTGTAATTTATCGGTGGAAAGTCACTGGTCGTACCATTTCTCAAGTCATCCACAGCCGTCGATGCCCCACAGACGAGGAGCATAGGGGCCAACGCCAACCCGCACCGCCAAAACTTCATTTTTTACTATTTTTTACGAAAAATATTTGAACGCAGTGTTTTTTGGTGGAACACAATAGGTGTAGAGTGTTTTATCACGCGCAATGTCGTACAGTACCTCCGAGTGCAGATGTTTTACTGTTTGGGGCACCTGATGTACTCGCGGCGTAATAAAGACGTGTTATCATTTATTTTGTTGCGGCAATGTGCGTTACGGAATCCAAGGGACCCTGTATACGCGCGCGTTTGCGTCTTTACAGATAGCGAAGATAAATTAAACTTCCGTCCGTTCCTCGAATCTCTCGTCTGACTCACAATTCGCTGGTGATATTTTTTTTTTTTCTTTTTTATGTAGGGAAAATGATCATTATCTCTCATTGCACGTGTATTGCGATAACACGTATACATGTGCCCGAGTTTATGATTAACTGTACAAATTAGTACACATGTTGTATTTTATATTCGCAGGGGTTTTGTTGGTGTACGAAAAAGTATGAAATTGTGAGTACTATTTTAATTGTGATTCCAGGGTATAAGCAATGAGTATCTAATGCATATACTTTGTACTTTATGTAATAATATGTTACCGAAAGTTGTTTTTTTTTCTTTCTAATTAAATCTTTTTCCACTCGCAGATGGACTATAGTGTCTTTTTATCGTTACAAAATCATTAATTAACATCTCACGCAGTAATATTACAACGTTCAAAAATAATTGCAATTATCGTATGATGTATATACATATCGTACAGATTTTATGCTGAATTGTTTCAATTGTTTGAATGATTCATGGAATAAATTTTTTTTTTTTCATTTCATACGCACAGTATAGTTTTAAGTTTTAAATGTGTATCGAATACCAAACTCACTAAGTTTTATTGATAAGATTTTCAAGTTCAGAAGTCCACCGAGAACCTGTGTGGTTGCCAGTAAAATAGATACATAAATAGATACGTGAAATTTTTTCATTGCAGGGGTGGATTAACCACACTTACAAATATTTACTCATGAGAAGACAAGTTGGAAATTTTTATGGTAAATGTTCGGGAATAACGTTATTATCAAAAATAATTTGTTCGTAAAAAAATGAATTTCACACGCTTGTAACCAAAAGTGTACAAATTACTTACTCATGTTTTTCAAAAATTTCAACAAAAGACAAATCACTGTAAATAATATCACTCAGTTGTTTTTAAATGATAATATTAACTGCTGTTATGGCGCATTTCATTTTTACCAGCAATCGAGAATTTCCGAATTGTCATTGTCTGCAACTACCAGCTGAGTCTTTTGAAAGCTATATATGTATATATACAATTATAGGGGCACCGCAAATTATGTAAAATGTATAAATTTGCATTAACAATTAACGACCAAGTAAAGTCAAGATTCAAATCCTACTCGTATCTTATGAGGTACAATAGAATCATACAAATTCTGTGTACAGCAATAATTAAAAATATTAAAACAACAAAGTATTGTAACTTAAAATCCTTGCCCTACGTAAGAAAGTTATTTGATAATAGAGGGTAGTCAGAGGATTTTCAAAAATAACATGTTTAAAAGTTATGCCTAATTATTAAACACCACATGCAAAATGACCATCTAGTCAAGATAAGATAACGAATGCCCATTGCAATGCCTACACAGTAATAGTATATTACGTACCAAGGGACTAAAGCAAGCCAGTTCGTGGCTGTTGTAGTGTGCGCCCGAGCGTAGCGAGGGCGCTACTAGCAATAGCCACTCGCTGGCTTNGAGTGCGAATTCTACTATTTGCAATCTAAATAATATATCGATTCCAGACTGCCCAATCCTTTTTGCTACTGATTTCCCAGAGTAACAGAATTTATTTAATAATTTTTTCTGATTCAATGCAGTGAATAACATATTCAAAAGCCAAAGAATTTTATTAAATGTGTTCATGATTTAGTTTTATAAGTTCACTTACAATGTAAAGAAAGATTCGAAAATAAAAAAATATATTACCTTACTTTTTTTCTATAACACACACCTTATAACTATTATGTATCCCTCACGCTACGAATTCCCCAGCCCGTACTACACCATACCTCACCCCTGGAGCATAGTAGAGCTTTTTAAGAACGAGCAATTTTTTTATTTTAAATTTAAAATGTTGCACAATCATTTTTTAACTTGTAGGCTAGGTCCACAGGTATCATACTTATACAACACAATTTTTTAGCTACTCCAATCCTCATTCCTTTAAGAAATACAGCTCAATAAAATTAGAGTGCCTTGCGTGCCCTGGTCTCCCCTACTGTCCTTTTCTAATTACGACCAATCGTTCTCAAAGTGCCCAGTGGGTACGCGATTTTGGAATTGCGCTCATAAGCGAATACCTTATCCGTCACGTCTATATGTGTTAGACATATGAATTTGATTTAAATTTAATGTTATCAAAGTATAACTTAGGTATTCAATACATAATTTTCTGTAGTTTGATAAGAAAAACTAAAATTTAAAAATCGATAGAATTGATACTAGAAAGAAAAATCAATGGATTGAAATTTTTTACTATTACATTTACTATTTGAAAATAACAATCTGTTTTAATTTTTTTTTTTTTATTCTTTACTTTGCCAATATTTTGGGCATACTATTACAATTTTTTTTTAATATTCCGAGTACTAGCTTGGTACTTTATGGCCTTCTTAGTCCTTTCTAGTCCTCATGAGTCCTCTAATCTTCTGGATTTTGTGCAGTACTTTAACGTATATTTTGCTTCAGAAAATATAACAGAGGATAAGAGTGGACTGATGTGGACCACGCAAGTCTGAGATAATTTTTTGAGTGGATTAATAGAGGACTCAAAGTGTCCGGCCCCTCGATAATGGATACTTGGATAAGGTTTGTGCTTGGAGACAAAAAGTCGGCGTTATTCTCTATGGGTAGTAAGACGTCATTGGCAGTACCTCAGAAGTTTGCCATTTGTAGAGAAGTTTTTGTGAGCGAAAGTCGAGCTGTGATGCTGTGTATTAGGAGTAAAGTTTTAGGTGAGAAATGTTGTGGACGTAAATTTTGCTTGTCCATTTAGGCAAATAAGGGCATCTTTATGTTGTTGTTTTAATTGGGTTAGCTTTTGAGAAGTTGCAAAAGAAGGCCTGGTGGGTGAGCTGCTTTTCTTTGGGCTTGTTAATATCTTTTTAGGAGTATTCGAAGCGTCGGAGGACTTTTACTGTGAAGTTCATGAGTTGCTTTGATAAGATCTTGCATATTGTCTCCCCCTCCTCTAGTCCAGGGAAATCGGAGAATCTTAGTCTCTTGTTTCTGCTATTTAGGTCATTGTAATCATGTTAGGCTTCTTCGACTGTAATAGATTTTTCAACTACATATGTTAATATGCCTTGCTTGTAATTCTGTTAGTGTTTTTTCTTCTCTTAGTTTTTTCGGTAGGATTGTGATAGTTTTACCTTCTAAAAGTAACACTGGTGCAAAACCGGTAACTGTATGTTCTGTTTAATTGCATTTCTTTACGCATTCATGAACTATGGTTGTCCATGGCCGCTTTCCTTGTTTTTCATTTATCTTACACCTTATTTTTATTTTTTTTTACCCAGTTTACCTCGATAGTTCTTAGGCCAAGTCGCCGGGGCTACCCGCTCACCACCTATGTGTAGGGATATATTGCCGCACCCATTTTCCAACCCTTTTACTGATGTTCCACCTAATCCATGGGCACAGTTTAAGTATCTTCGGTGAGACACCTTGATAGTTAATCTGACATTCTCTGCACCAACGTTGTATCAGGTCTACTCGCCACTGTGTAGCCTTTCCCCGGAGAGGACTCCATATTTCAGGACGTTCACTCCTCGCCGGTAAAGCCGGCGACCTCTGCCAAAGCATGGGATCCAGGTTATTTAGCATCCCCGGAGAAGCCTCATCTTTCAGGGACCACTCCTCGTCGGTAAGGACGGCGATCCCTTCCTGGTGCATCGGATCCGCTTATTCCTACCTCCTATCACTGTTTTGCATTCACTTAGGCCCGAAAACCTGTGGGGCAAGGAAAAAAACTCTGGAATTGCTCTGAAGGAAAATTCCATAGAAAAACCCGCCCCAAAAAACAGCCGGGGTTACATAGGAACTTTTCCGAGCTGGGGGTCGTGCAGTTAGGTATCCCGGCTATCCGAAAACGCTGTTCTCTAATGGACAAGCGACTTACCTTGAACTCTATCCCGATCTAATAAATGCTAACGTCTCCGGTGACATACCAGGAGACGTGTTTAGCTAGAGCACAATCTGCTTCTAGCATTTGGGGTTTCATGGCCACTCTTCCAACCGCCCTGGGGTTACCAGAGATGATTTTGCTACAACAGCAAGCCAGGGAAATTTCTAGAGGGAATCTAACGTGGAGAAACATTTGCAGTCTCTTGTTTTTATTATTAGATCTTGAATCAATGGGAATGCTTGCGATTGAGGTATAACTATTTTATTTAGTTCTCGA